AAGTTAGATATAATCTTGATTATGTAAACAGCTGTTCTGCAGCATCTTTCAGTATGTGCACCGTTATCATGCATGTCTAGCAGGAAACAGAGTTCCGACCAGTAGCCTCAATTGCAGTCACTTCATTGACTCAGCTGTTTCATTTCATAATATAAATTATTCTCATTTCGAAAAGAACTGAAATATACATGTTCATATGATAGGAAAATGTCAATAAAACCCTCTGTGCAAGCATTCATATATATAGTACTTGTCGTGTGCGTGCGTCTGTCCATAGTACGGCTGGGTCATGTCCGTAAATGTCAGTGCGGCCGCCAGTGTTCCTTCCTGTTTACTTATAGCTCACAGTTCGCTTCTTACTTTTGCAGTTGTAAACAAGGAAACAAATGTTGACGTATATCATCATCATCATGATCATCATGATCATCATCATCATTTCTTGTTACCCGACCGTCTGGCATGTATTTTCATGGATTCTGAATGATGGTTGCTAATTACCCTGAGCAAGCTGCTGCCTCAATGTTCAGGCGGAAGATGGGCACAGTGGAGTGTTCCGAAATGTTAGCACTCACCTAACCAACCGTACGGTGGCACATCCCAGAATATCGTGAATTCAATATTCACAGTCTTGTGACATGGACCTCATTATCAGAGGTGACTAATGACATCAGCTATCGTAGTGAGGCTTAAAATTTCTGCATTTTCTTTAGTCAGCGAGATTTTGATCTCTGTATAACTTGTTAAGGCGGTCACGGTAGCCGAGCGGTCTAAGGCATGCAATATCTTCGCTCGCTCGGAAGCCGGGATCATGGGTTCGAATCACACTCAAGGTATTCATGTTTAGTGTTTTCGTGTGTGTGCGTTTTTATATGTTTGTGTACAGGTAGAGACCTTGCGACGAGCTGATCACCCGCCCAAGGAGTCCTACCGAATGTGTAGGATCCAGAAAAACTGAAGTGAAATGGAAATTTTCATGGAGGTAGGCCAAGGCCCAAACTGGGGCTGTAGCGCCAAAGGGGGGGAAAAAAACTTGTAAAAGTAAATTTTTCTTTTTGCTTAATTAATTAATTAATCAGTCGCCATGAAGACGTATGGAGGAATAGAAATATACACCAATTATTCTTGACATATTTTCATTGGTTGCATCCTGTTGTGTGTTTAAGACAATGTAATATATAGGAACTACGAGTATGCTACCTTCAACAAAAATATTTCAGTTATTACATTAGATCTTTATTTTTTGCGACATGTTGCGGTCATACATGACCATCACATCAGGCAGGAATACATATAGTTATATTTTAAGTATACACTAATCTGAGGCAGAATTTTTTATGTTAATACGACGCATTGCACCGATAAGGATCAGTATTGGTATTTCAATAACTATACGTATTTCTGCTTGATGATGGTCATGTATGACCGAAATATGTCGCAGAAAATAAAGATCTAATGTAATGACTGAAATACTTTTGTTGACGGTAGCACAGTTCCTGCATATTGTATTATTCTGGACCTCATCATTATATGGAGGTGTGGTCAGCTTCACGTCACAACGGATGTGTTCCCCGGAAGGGGTTCCTCGGTACTAACTGGATACAAGTTTGAGTGCGCCCCAGAATCGGTGTGGATGGTGTAGAGTGGAGACAAAATTCTTGCCCCTGCCGGAAATACAACCTTTAGTGCGTCGCTGTATCAACTGAGCTATTCCGGCGTCTTCTGCCAAATTAAAATTCCTTCCATCAGTTCTTGTACCAAAGTGCATGCTCAATTGTCTAAGCGCAGTGTTTGAAATGGTGTTATTGCGCCCCAAAGAGCTTGAGCACATGCGGTTCGACAAAGATAGTCATGGTGGCAGGATAAGACTCTTAGAACTAAATTTGGTATTAAAACCTATTCCCTTTTCAGCCCTCGTCTTTCCGTCCTTCCTCATTCTTCAGTTTCCTTCCATCCTATCCTTTACATTAAAACAGTTTCCTCGCTCCTCTCCTGCTTTACTTTATCCTGGTTGTATCATTTTATCCCGTCCCTGCTTTCTCTCACATTCGCCACGCATTTATTTTTCCGCCCTAGTATTATTTCCCCTTCCTTCCTACCTCTCCTTTACGTCAATAAATCAGGTAAATATTGCTGACCGTTTGATAATGAACACTACCTATTATGTTTATGTATATTAATTTCGATTTCACCTAGCATCCTGTATTTAGATGATTATTTAAATAGTTTAGTTTCACTTATCCTGAAATTCATTATCGAAGCTACAGTTCTCCTTTATAAGGCTATTATTAGCTACATATTTCATTAGTTTTAGTTATCCTCTTATATTAGCAAGAGCGCTACAATCGTCCGTGAAAACATATGCCTGTTTTTGCATATAACTGCATTGACTGGACAAGCTTCACATTGTTTTCAGTTGTATATAACATTTGGAAAACTGTACAACTGCAACAGGAATTCGTGACGTCCCAAGATATGGGAGGAGGTTCATGTGATGACAGGCATTACGTGATGCATGCTACATTTATCTGTAAATCTCTGTTAAACAACTGAAGCATAAGAGTTGGATTTAATTTGTTGAGGGAGAGTACCGTTAGTACAGTTTCGCGATTATGGAAAGACTGCAGACACCTAAATCCTATGGCGCGTTTAAAAATAGAAAATGATATAACGGATCGTTACCCACAAACACTAGGCTCTTCTCTATGTGAGCTTTAACTATTTCCATGTTGCATTTATTTTTAAAGAACTCTTTAAATTAGATAGACTTGAAAGGATTCTGGCGATGGTGTATACTATACTTCTTTTGGCTTATTTTGGACTTCATCCATCGTCTGGTATGTAAAAGACAAAAGACCACGACGTTACGGAGACTGGATCTGTCTCCGTCTTCAGGTGTGTAGGGAAGGATAAACCTATTCAGTTGGGCCCGTTAGAAAGAGCTAGTCTCAATCACTGGACGATTAAATTAAATTATATACTTTTCCATAGTAACATAATTTGGTTTGTCTGAAGTTCACGAAGTTGGGTTTAACTGTTGATAGATGGCGGGACAAATTTTATTTACTAACGTAGCAATAGGCTCTGTGCGTCATTCGTAGCTCGCAGATGGTTATTATTCATACCGGTTGGAGCAAAAAATGCATATCCTTGAGAAATTAGTAAAAATGAAAGGCTATTTTGATCTGAATGAAATTGATGCAAGTTGTGTATGACATCAGTTCTTGCTTCATAACTAAGAAATTTATTTTCATATGCACTTTATTTTTAATTTATTCAGATTCAGTTTATTGGAATGGATTTTGTGTAGCTCTCACGGTGTCTCAGAATGAAGCTCGAACCTGTGTTTTCCATTGATTGATGGCTGATCGGATGTTAAACTGTGACAGGAAGGCACATTCGCAGTTACTCCAGGCAACGAAAAGGTTCTCCCTTTTTTTTTAAATCTCATAAACTTGGTTAACATTCTGCGGATTAGACAAATTAAACATAATCGCACACTACGTTTTCAAATGGTGTGTAACATGAAAGCAAAAGTTGCTATTTTAGAGACAAAATTGAATATATTTTTCTCTGTAATGAATTAACCGGACTGAACAGATCTTGTCACACACATACTTAGCCGGCCTCTAGTTTACACAATGGTCATTTCACTTTTAGCATATTTTTAAAGAGAATTCTTTGCTCGGTGTTTAAGATCTCAATAGAAGTTTCGAATTTCCTCAGAATGCTGGATTTTTTTTTATTTCAGAAAGTCAGTGAAAGGCTGAATGTTGATTAAATGGTTGAATAGTAACGGACTGGCATTCAGGCACTCACTGAGTGGGAATAGAAACCCCTATCCCAGTGCTAGATAAAGTTCACACACTGTCATTGACGTTTAAAAAATTTTCGCCCATTTACGTAATTTGCTGTGATTAATAGATAAAAGTTCCGCACAGGGAAGTACGTTCGGAGTAACTATACTGAGGCTTCGGAGAGAAGTCCCATGGATGGCAGGGGTAACGACGCGCGAGATTTCCAGCTGTCCTGTTTTCTTCATATACTTATTCTGCTCCGTGGCCGAAGTAAATCAGCCTACAGCACTGGTCGTTAGCGCAGGATATCGCATGTTTATCGCTACAACATTGCTGTAAACAGAAAGGCATGACAGCAGGAGGGGCATACAAGGAAGCTCGCGTGGAGGGGAAATGTCAAGGGGTCGACTTGCAGTGGCTGCAATGTACAAACCAGGACTTGCCTACTTCTATAGGGCCGCGCCATAGCTGAGGCGGTTAGTCGCTGGCTACCCACCTCGGTGACCCGGGTTAGCGCCTCGGTCTGGTCATATGGGATTTGTGGTGGACAAATTAACGCTGGGGCAGGTTTCTTCCGAGTACTTCGGTTTCCCTTGCCAATCTTTCCCCCAATTGCTCCGCAGTCACCAACAACTGTCATCTGGGGCTGGTACAGTAGGCCAGTAATGCCAACAGTACCAAGTAGACTCACTCTTACATAATAATAATAATAATAATAATAATAATAATAATAATTATAAATACCTACTTCTAGTATTTCGACGTTACCTGCAGCAGTGTAAATATGTTGATGCCGCCAGGCTGGGTAAAATTGTTCGCAACCGACGTTCACAAGTGACTCTGAGTCGACGAAGAACACTTCTTGATTAATGTTCACGGAAATATGTTATTTTGTTAACATTTGTATTCAATTTGAACATAATAACAACCCATACATTGGAACTATTCTAGGATTTCCAATAACCTGACTAAATTTTGTAGATGGTGAGTACCGACATCAGTAGGTACTCCATATGGACTCCGCTAACACGTGAAGAATGCTGAAATATTAACTAGATTACACACAGGAAGGGCCACTGTATTACATATATTTCAAATTTGTTTCCATAAATTTAAATATAATACATTGCGTAATTTCAGGAGAAAGATAATAGAGCATTATTAAGTTCCACTTTATCAATTAAGCCAATATTCGCTCATATCTTATATTGTGGTATGTAGACCCGTTGCTAGGCGACGACCGCGAAAAAAAGAAATACCCTTTGCTAAGTAATGGTTCTGAAAACAGCGGCTATTGCTAGACAGTGGTTGAGCAACGGTCACGTGGCTACTCCAGTAGTCACGAAAGTAACAGTTGCACATAAATAGAATTGTGTTTTCTGTGCGGTCCGTGCCGATATATTATAAGCAGGATAAGTTACTTTTCACTATGGCGCAGCAGATTATGACAGAGCTCTCTGGTGCTGCAACAAAAAAAGAGAATGTTGCTCTCATAACTAAAGCTGTGTTTAGACTGTTACAATGCCAGCAACAGTTAATAGACCTCTGAAAATCATAGCATCCAATGCCACAGGAGAGAACATAAGTGATGCAGTGGAGGAAATAACTAAGAGCAGGTCGAGTTATGAAGTAAATACTTCTAAACAATTAAAATAACTTTAATTAGAAAAGGAAACAAACGCATGGAAGCAGGGCCTACTTCTCCCTAACTCGTGAAAAAGAAAGCATTAAGTGAAACCTAGCTACATTAACGGATTACACTCTTCACGCCACACTATATCAATAAAATCTATAGAAACAAGAAAAGTCTCCCAGTTTAACAAACTATCAGAGGGGAGAAGGCAAGGCAAAACACATCACAGTCTGCGTATCAAGAAACAGTACTTTGAAACAATACAGTGTAAGCGCGACAGGCTCTTACAATAGAAAGAATTATTCATGAATCAGTGAAAATTACATTGGCTTCTTCCCTTATAATAAAAAAGTAAGAGACCATGGAGGACAATATTTTTATGGAACGTCGAGACACCTACATTTTCTTGACAATCGGCTCACATATGGCGGTGAGTTTATCAGCCTTACGCGCCATCCGCCCTTTACTCCCAGAAAATTTCCTGGTACTCATTTCTGTTATAGGTTGAGTCGAACCTAGGGCCATAATGCGGCCGGAAGGATTAAATCGATTGAAAAATCCAATAACCTCATCTGGATTCGAATCCGCAGCCTTATAGTTCAAACCAGAGTCCTTGCACCCCCTTCAAATAAATAAACATCAAATTCTCCGTTAGGTTGTGGTACTCAAGTTGGCGAGGAGTCGAACTTATATGGACCTACACATGAAGATCTAGGGCTCATTAAGGCTGGAGTTGAGGCACTATGTTCCAAGCCGGAAGGTCCCGATGAGGTCATTGGATACTTTCATTTGACCTAATCCTTCCGGCCGCACTATGGCCCTGGAGTCGACTCAGCCTCTAACAGAAACGAGTACCAGGAATTAATTAAATAATTTTCCTGGGGAATAAAGCGCGGCCGGCGCGTAAGGCTGGCAACCTTACCGCCAACTTTGAGCCTATTGTCTAGATAATGTGGGACCCTCAAAGTCTCACAACCCTATGGGCCTTCACGGCCTGGTACAGAGATAGTTTCACTTTTTTTTACTATGTTCATTATAAGAATACAGTCATATTGTAATAGAACACTACATTAAAAATGACACTGGTGTGATTCAATAGCGATCTAACTTCAGTATACATCTTAATTGGGAATGTGTACTGGAAACCGTGACTGGAGAAACTTTTGTCTTCTCGTCTGCTGTCTAAAAACATAAAAATTAGAATATACAAAGCTATAATTTTGCCTTTGGTTCTGTATGGGTGTGAAACTTGGTCTCTGACATTAAGGGAGGAACATAGACTGAGGGTGTTTGAGAACAGGGTATTGAGGATCTTCATAATTAGTACTCTTCTCAAAGTATGATTAGAATGATGAAGTCAAGGAGGATGAGGTGGGCGGGGCATGTAGCACGATTGGGGGAGATGAGGAATGCGTGTAGGATATTGGTCGGAAAGCCAGAAGGAAAGAGACCACTGGGAAGACCAAGGCGTAGGTGGGTGGACAATATTAAAATGGATCTTAGAGAGATATGATGGGATGGCATTGTTTGGATTGATCTGGCTCATGATAGATACCAGTGGAGGACTCTTTTGAACATGGTAATGAACCTTCGGGTTCCATAAATTGCTGGTAAATTCTTGAGTAGCTGCAGAATTGGCGGCTCCTCCAGAAGGGCTCAGCTTCATGAGTGAGTAAGTACTGCAGGACTTAGGAATAAATGTATTAAGCATAAAATGGGGTCTTTTGTTTCTGCAGCTGTGGCAGGAAACACTTTTCTGTTCGACAGATATTTAACAACTTATAAGTGGAAACGCCTATAGGTCTCCTTGTAAACTTGTTAGAATGCTTTCGTGAGATATAACTTAAAATTTAATAGCCTAGATATATGTTCTCGGAATTTTAATGTACCAAATTTCGTGAAAAATCGCCCAGCGTTTTGCGAATTATTTGATGCATGCGGGCGGAAGGGCTGAGCTTACTTCATAAACACTCTACAGGCTTTCGAAAGTAAGCGAAATGTTCTATTAACAGGTGTTTATTTCGAAATTCTTAAGGAGTCATAGCAGTTTGAAACAAATAAAATGGTGCAATGGATTTAAAGATGCTCTATGATAAAATTAACAATAACTTATATACAAAACTGATGTATGTGATGTAGAAAATGAAACTGTACATACGGCAACATAATTTGGATCAGCAAGAATACACGTATATACGTGTATATATAACAGCATAAATATGCATATAAGTCTATTCATAATTATGTTATAACGAGAATTTTGTTTTTCTGTAATATAGTGTTGTTCGTCCATGTTTTTCAAATATAGCCACAAGATTTCGATAACTTACCGTATTTACGCATGAATAGGCCGCGTGCGTGTATAGGCCGCAGCACAATTTTCAGACAGAAATTATAGAAAAAATAATTTTCTTGGAATGTTATTTCAGGAGTATTACACCCTGTATTACTAATTATGAATATATATATTTTTTTAATGAAGTGTGATTTCGAATATTTCGAATATTTCGAATATAAGCCGCACCCCAGTTTTCCTCTTGAATTTTTGGTGAAAAATGTGCGGCCTATACATGCGTAAATACGGTACTTCGGGGTGTGGGAAAAGTGTTCATAACCGTGATATATTAAATAAGCAATTCTACCACTTCAGAAGTCGTAATTTACGCAAAAGGCAGAGCGATAAACCCGCAATATGCCTAGTGTTAATTGGTAAGTAGTTTCACTGTGTAGGGAGTCAAACAATTGTTCCATTGTATCGTTTCCATGGTTACCGTGGGGATAAGTTGCACGGAATGACAAGCGAGTAATGACTGGAGGAGAATTATATAACTTTACACATTATGGGCGGGCGCACCTGCTCTAGCCTTGTTGCTCGAAGACTGATTGTTGATACAGTCCCACACAAGGAGACATCAATATCATGGAGCTCACTCCTGCAGAAACACCCATTCATCATTAGCATATTCATGGCGACAGTGACGTGGATTATAAAGCTTACCTTAACGACGAAGCACCACTTCCAGCGCTGTACTCGCGTGGGTATGTTGGGGCTCCAGATAGGTCGTGGTCTCTCAATCTGCGTTATATATTTAAAACAAAATGGGACAAAGATAAAGAATTATAGACTGAGGAGAGTCGTGATATTTAGTCTTAAATATTTTAATATCACATTAAGGACGATGAAATGGGCGTTGCATTAGCAGACATAGGTGCCATGAATAATGTATATTCTGACTGGAAGAAGTGACGAAAACATGGTAGAAGATACGAGAAAAAGAAAATAGGAAAATGAGTCTTAGCTCTTGAATTACCAATTTGGCTCATTATGTATGCCAAAACCATCAGTTACATTTTGGCTGATATTAGAGACAACTTTTGTCCTTGAAGTCTGATATAATTTGTACACCTCATAACCTTGAATAGAAAATGGATTTTTTGTATAGTTACACTCCCTCACGAATATTGCATATTTTTTTTAAAAAATCTAGACCAAATTGGAACAAGTTCGGTAACCGTTGTGGCCAAAAAAGAAATCGCGTCACATGTTCCTGAGAACACAAGTCGGGAAATGCAGATATTGTCAAGTATTCTTCATTATTTCCACTGCAATAGATACATATTTTCTTAATTAACTTCAATTTTATCTCTATTATGGGAATTAGTATTATGATCATGATACGTGTAAATCCTTTTAGCAAGTCACAATATGTAATAATTGTAATGCTCATCCATGAACCCGTACATAAAGCTAACATAACGAGAGCCAAAAGTGGACCCCAGTCATTATTAGTACACACTCCTATTTTCTTCTCAAAATTCGAGGGTTAAACAGTGCCAGAGTCAGGACTGGGTTAATCTGATTTGGGGTAGGGTTTAGTTTTCTTTTCCTTAGTGGGGTGGGACTAAATCCACTTGGTACTGCTGCCACGTCTGGCCTATTGTACCAGCCCCAGATGATAGGTGAGGGTGATTGTGGAGCAATTGGTGGAATTAAGATTGGCAGGGGAAACCGAAATACTCGGAGAAAACCTACCCCAGTGCTACTTTGTCCACCATAAATTCCACAGGACCATACCCGGGCTTGAACCCAGTCCGCCGCGGCGGGAAGCCAGCGATTAACCCCTTGAGCTTTGGTACAGCCTCTGGGTAGAATTTAGTCCATCACGTACTGTTACGAGTACAGTAATGAACGTCCGAGTTCATGTAAGGCGTGGAATGCCTTAGAGAGCCAAGTAACTATTAACCCTTGGCCGCGCCATAGCTCAAGCGGTTAGTCGCTGGCTTCCAATCGCGGCGGCCCGGGTTCGATCCCGGGTCTGGCCAAGTGGGATTTGTGGTGAACAAAGTGGCGCTGGGGCAGATTTTCTCCAAGTACTTCGGTTTCCCCTGCAAATCTTCATTCCACCAATTGCTCCACAATCACCTTCACCTATCATCTGGGGCTGGTACAATAGGCCAGAAGTTGCCTCAGTACAAGGGCATTAGTCCCACCCCACTAGCAATAAAAAGAAGTATTAACCCTTGAGGAAGAGACAGGATCCACATGGATTATTATGCTAGTTACTCAGTTAGTTGCAAGAAATAATGGAAGATGAGTCGTGACGTTGTGCAGCGGTGCCAGATAGCTACCAGGCACGCCTTATGATGCTGGGAATGTTATGATGTTTACACAGGAGAAGGGGCGCCCATTACATTAAAGCTACATTTGCCATATTTCCCGCTAATGCTGAATTTACCTACTGGAACGACATGCAGCACACTGATATGCTACTGTGGTTCGTTATCGGGCTAGCAGGAAGTGTTAGTAATAATCATGAGAGATTGCTTTATAAAGCCAGATTCCAGGAGCAACCCATTCGAGGGACAATCATGCGGGAGTTGCACTCTACACAAGGAAGAGGATATTGATACAAATTTGTATACTTAAATATGGTGCTGCGTTAAAGTATTAACATTTCTAAATATATCTGGCTGCCTCAGATTAGCTTTATCATAATTCACGAGGAATTGTTTATTGTTTGTTAGTTTTTAATAATTCTTTGATGCCTTCGAAAGGAGCGCCGCAAAGATACATCATTACCCATCCCAGTTCTGTCTATCCGCATGTAATAACTCGAAAACCGCTCAGAGGATTTTCATTGACGTTCATATTGTGGAGTATCATTACAATTTACGTAGTCTCTGTACCGGTCACGGTAGCCGGGCTGTCTAAGGCATGAACTGTCCTCTCTTGCTCAAAGTATGGATGCTTGGTGTGTGTATGCGTTTATTCTGTGTTTATGTTGTCCTGTGTATAGGTAGAGGCATTGCGATGGGCTGATCACGCGTTTAAGGAGTCTCTGAAGAAAAGATTGTTTTTTTTCCTTGGCACTACAGTCCCAGTGGACCTAGGCCTACCTCCATGAACTTCTTCGTTCACTTCGGTTTTTCTAGATCTTACACATTCGGTAGGACTCCTTGGGCGGGTTATCAGCTCGTCGCAGGGACTCCACCTGTACACAAACACAGAAAAACGCAGACACACAAACTAAACATCCATCCTCTGAGTGGGATTCGAACCCACGATCCCGGTTTCCAAGCGCGCGAAGACAGTACATGCCTCAGACCGCTCGGCTACCGTGACCGGCGAAGAAACAATTACGGAAATGAATAAAGAGGCCTGGGCACTGAATGGGCTGGAAGGACCAGTGGAAAAAAAGATAATTGTCCATGTGCTTAACTAATTAAGCGCTACGCAATGAAGACATACGGTGGAGTCGACCTGTTATTGACCACAGTATTAGTTAGAGATAAGTGATCAACTTTACGTCCTGGCCGCTTTAACCCCGAGTAAAGAATCCCCGATATCCATTGGAAAGGAGGCTGGATGAACCCGAGAACCGGTTTCGACGATGTGGATGGGAGAAAAATGATGCCTCTACCGGGACTCGAGCTCCGCCCCTCGGCCGTCCAGCCCGCTCGTGGCCAGTCGCTGTACCGACGCGGCTTCTTTGAAATTTGTGGAGAAATTATTTTTTTAATGAGATAACACACGTGCCTCAGTACACATCTCGAGGGAACTTGCACGTGAAACATCTAAATATTTAAGACAGAGAAAAAAAAAATCAAGTAAAATACACGTATTATCACGTAATTGCGTGACAGTAGATGGGGATTTTAATTGTGTTCGGTTTTATTTGACCCTTAAAACTCGTAATTATAAATAACCTATCTGTCGTCTGTCTGCGCACTACTGCACTATACAATAATTCACTGATAAACTGCTACGCTGGTACACTTGTACACTGATTCACAGCTGCACTGGTACACTACTGCACTTGTACATTGGTACACTGCTGCACTGTTACGCTGGTACACTGCTGCAATGATACCTCAGTACACATCTCGAGGGATATGCTGGTACGCTGCTGCACTGATATGCTGGTACACTGCTGCACTGGTACAGTACTACACTGGTACACTGGCGCGCTGGTACAGTGGTAGAAGTTTACCGATGTTTTGGAACAACTTAGTGCCTTCATCTTCAGGGTCGAAGATAAACCGGTCACGCAGCACGCAGTATAAGCGTGTTGCTCTTTGTTTGCTCGGCTTACTCTTCTGCACTGAAGAAGGATTCAGTACGTTCCTCTGAAACGTCAGTTAACCTCTACCAGAGTCATTACCTCTATCCCCAAAGAGAGTACATATAAATTATCGTAGATTTAATAGCACTTTAATCAGTGAGGCTCCACACTATAATGGAGGTTCTATAATGTGGAATATTTGTTTAAGAGCCTTGCAACACACAGCGTGTGCAAAGTGGACATTAAAATGGTGAAACACAGCAAACTTGACTGATCCGCATGCTAGGAAATACGTTTTGATTCATCCTATAGCATCTATCCCATTGGAGGACAAGGCAGAGTAAGGGGTAAGAGACGGAGAGCGGAGGAAAGTTTTGTCGGAGTTTATGCTAATATAGGAAAGAACTTCCAATGGTTTAATTCAATTATTTTTGTGACAAGGTGAAGTGGAGGGAAGTGGCTTTATGGAGATATAGAAATGGAGAAAAAGATATAATGGTTGAGGGAAGGGTAAGGGCAGGACATTTCCTCTGAACTGTTTAAACCACTTTACGGAAAGTTAGATAAGATGATGGAGAATGCTGGAGTTAGAGAACATTTCCTGTCATATTTGTTTTGCAAAATGTTCTTCAAAATACCTAGGAGTCTGCTTGTCGCTGCTTGCTTCTTACTTATTTATGGTTTATTTACCGAGCCTCTCAATATCTCGGGCTGTGTACACCCGAACTGTAGCATCATCATTGGTGAATAATGAACTGGAAGGAACAGAAGTCACTTAATTCGAGGTAATCTCCAAGCATTTGTCCGAAGAGGTTCAAGATCATGAAAGACATTTGCTCCTACATTTGGGCCGATATTTGAAACCATCCCCTCTGAACACAATGATCAGTGTTTTGCTTCTTGCTTTTGTTTGGATTCGTTTAATGTTCTGAAACCTGATGTTCATTTCTTCTTCCGCCTTGACCAATTAGGCTCTGTCCTGTTACCGTTCACAGTTAATTTTGAAATTTGAATGTTACCGACAGCGGGCAGGAATCCCCTGACGACTGATCGGCCCTTGAATAGCTGTTACACACACAGGAAAATGCAGACACTGAATAATCACAAATTGGGATTGGAAACCACAATTGGACTGTTAGAGCAGGCGAAGACATTTCATGCTATAGACCGCGCGGCCCCTGTGTTGGCCTGAAGTTCGTTGAAATATTGGTAAACTCATTTCATACGTCGGAAAATTGCAAGATGCCTCAGTTATGAAAACTAACCGGTTAATGCTGCTAGTATATAGGGAAAGGTCATTGTTTTATGAGAACCGTACGAAACGTATAAATAAAGTGTGTGTATTTTAATATTAAAGCAGATGCTGCTTGTACTAACCACTGCTTTGGGCTAGGGCCGACTTTATGCTGACCTGTATGTAAAATTTTGGAGAGAGACCAACGGGTGGGCAGCCCAGCTGTATAAGTCTCTACACAACGGACTTTCTACGATTTGGTTAGAAATTTATTGGCAA